GAAATGCTTATATTCAAAGGATATAATTAATTCAAACTATAAAAAATAAATTATGTTTTAATAATTTCAGGTTCTGTACCTACCACAGAACTTTCACTGTAAATCTTCTGTTTCTTCATTTCAACTAAATTTCTTTTCATTGTGTGAGAATTTCTTTGGAAATAGGAAAACAGCTGATACAGAAATCTATAAAGTAAATACACAGGAAGATATTTCTTCCGTTCTGGCTCATTTTATAATAATCACTGAAGTGTAATTTTAGCAAAGAACATAAAGATGTCTAATGATATTTCTCCTTCAATTTATTACTCTACAAAAATAATTAAATTGAGGTAAAGAAGTGGTAATTGAAAACATACTGTGGTAGTGAAACACACTTGAAGCATCAAGACAAACTGAAGTTATCTGACCAATACTGATTTGAGGGAAAATTCAATAGCATTTTTGAAAATTTGTCACTGGGAACAGACATCTAATAACATTTTATTTTCAGGTCTGTTCTTGGAATGAAGGTACTCTGTATGTACTTTGTACTCAGTAAAATGTATAGTTTATCTCTAGGAAAAGAGGTAGTAGAATAATGCATGCTCTCGGTGCTCTCATCAAACTCGATGATTCAAAGATAAGTTTTTCTTGTATTTTTGATTATTATAATCTAAAAAATAAGGTTACCATTCTTTCCACAGCAAATCCATGTTGCCCTCCACCTTTCTGTGGTCCTGATGGCCGTAGCTGCCTTACAGCGGTTCCTTCCACCTTCTGCCCTTTTCCTCTTAACCTATACTCTCCACTTACTTCACATACTTCTTCTTTAACACTCACTGGGTATGAGTCAATTTTGATCTTCCTATTAGTCAGTTGTTATATATGTTTTTTTTCCTTTTTTCTTTTTTCTTTTTTTTTTTTCAGACCCCCTCCGGCAAAGCATAACCAAAACCCTGTGTTTAATTTTGCTTCTTGAATTGCACGAGTGTTCTGTAAAGTAGAAAAAGGAGAAGGTAATTACAGAGTCAGATTCTTCTCTCCTGTTGGTGTGAGACAAATAAATTCAGTGATATTACAGCAGAGTGTGTGAAGTGGGAGTGGAATTTGGCTGTTATAAAGCTGGAAGATTTTAGGGCAGAAGCTGATCGTCCTTACCTATATGTTGGAAGTATTTTGTCTGAACGATGGGAGAGGGAAGGGTAAGTTAGTGTATACTACATTGAAACTTTGCTAAAGAATGCTGTATTCTCTCCTTTTAAAAGAGTTTAATGGCAATTGGTAACTAAACCACTTTCTTCAGAGGAAACAAATGTATGTCTCAAATATTCAGCTATCAAAGAATTCTGATGACTAGCACACATTGATGTTGAAAAAGAACTGTTATGTGCATTGCAATATGGTATACGTAACAGTTAACAGAGCAGAAAAGTTCTTCCTTGTGTCCAGGTAAATTATATAGCTTATTGAATGTATTATTTTATTTAAAAAAGAAAAAAACAAAAAAACAAGGCGGTGGCGGGGAAGAGAAGGCTTTTAAGTATATGCATGGTGGGGCGTAGTGCCTGTCTGTCCAGTTCGGAGACACTCTTACCAAAAACACCTCCATATAAATATAAAATAGGTGCTAATGTTGAACTCCACTTTTAGTGCATGTGGATGTATAATAATTATGGATTATGTACATGTGTGTATTTATGCAGCAATGAAGGAAGGGAGGTGTATTGATCTAATACGTATCCGGATGCATACATTTTTAATCTAATATATTTAGAAATCACTGAAGTGATTCTTATTCCTCTGGCATTAATGAAGCAAACAGAACTTCTGCCCATGTAGCAGTACCTTGTAATCTGTAAAAATTGTTGCCAACTTGAAACTAGATATTTGTGATGTATTTACATTTCTATTTCACTGGTTTGTGATGTACTAGTGTGTTAAGGTGTGCTTCTTGAATATTCTAATAGATACTGGCACTGTACTCTGCTTTTTTGTGGTTTTAGTGTGGGCTAACCTCATTTGACAATGTAAAATTGAATGGAAATGCATTTGAAGTTAAAAGACAACATAGTCAGATACCAGTTAATACTTCAGGGACAGAAAACGTGCGGAAACTGGTGGTGGTTGCTTGTGTTTCTGAGACGTATTTGCTGGAATTAATATTTTTAGAGTCCTGTACAATTCTGCTTGCCTTAGGCTGACTGGTGTGAAATGTAATTGAACTAATGACTCACTGTGGTGAGATCATTTTTAAGAATGTAGTGGGCTTCTTATTGTACAATACTGTGGCATATATTTGCCCTTTTTTCTCCAGTGATGCTGCCTGTTTTTGGATTCTGTTTTAGTCTGTCTGTCAAGCACCCACGGCACACCTTCATATCCCTCCTAAAATCTTCCTCTGTATCTGTAGGATATACAGTGTTCCTTCACTAGTTACTCTTTATTTTGTCTTGTTTGTGTTAAATCTGTCGCCTTTGTGGTACAGGTCATGTATGATTCTGTTTTATGACTCCTGCATGTATATAGGATTGCACATGTTCTTGTATTACTCCCTGCTCTATGCAGAATTTTCTTCTGCAGACTTCAAAGTGTACTCTAACATAAGTCCTTTTTTTTCTTTCTTCAATGAAAGATGAAGAATAGTAAATGTAAAAATGAACTTGCTTATATTCTTAAAGGCAATCAATGACTGTGATCGACATAGCCTTTAAAACCTGACTTAATCTCTCTGACTAATTCCTAGGCTGCATTTTCTCTTTGTTATGAAGTACTGCTTCATTGAATCTGACTTTCTAATGAATGAGCTTTTAACACTAAACGTGTAGTTCTTGAGGATTTTTTTAATTTTAAAAAGTAAAATCATATTGTCAAGAAACATTTCAAGTCTGAAAGCTTTTCTTAAATGCTTATTTCAGATAAGGGCATGATGCAAGCTTATTCATGTGTTGTGGTCATTATGTTTTCTTTTTTTCTTTTTAAATAAATGAATAATATTTTTAATCGATTTAAGAATGCTTTATTGGAAGATAATAATCAGTTAAATCGTATTATGCCTTTAACCCTAGAGATCCCACTTTCTCCTCCTTCTAGTGTTCAGAATACAGAGGGATAGCTAGGCAGAGAAAGGAAGGAGTGTTACAAAAAAGAAAAAATACAGTTCCTGCTTAGGTGTTTTGGGTACATTTCTTTTCAGAAGAGCTTATTCCTGAAAGAATGTTTTTGAAGTGATAAATTTGGAGCATATGGGATTTAAAAAAAAAAAAAAGAGAAAAGCTTCTTGCATAAAACCATGAAGTTTACTTCCCTCCTGCAACCTCTCAAATAAGTTGAAGGATTTCAATTCTTGTAGGAAAGTAGGGATAACTTGGGTGAAATCAACACTGCAAGTGGGTACAACTGAATTCAGGTGTCGTTGGGCTAGCTTTTAGAAAAAAGCTAGTGAAATTATGTTTGAATATATGTTACGTAGTAATTTTAGATAATGAATTATTACCAATTAGATAATAGAGCTTCTGGGTAGAATTTGGATGATTGTAAGTGACTGGTCTTTGTGAAATATGGAGCTGTAGTATTATTTTTTTGAGTCTTCTGGTAAGCTAAGGCATGAGCCTAAGTAAACTAAGGTACATTACAAGTACTGCTATTTTTTTAACCACAAAAACAGTTTGGGCTATACACATATGATTAATAATTTAATGGTGTAATGGAAAATAACTTTTTGCTCCCTTAAAACCACACTTTTTTTTATATGCAACTTCAGAAAAGTGCTTCAGAAATCCTTATTTTTTATGTAATGCTTTAGTAAAACTAGCTCTCATATTCAAGGATATGCTCTGCTTTTTTTTTTTTTTTTAAATAGAAGCCAATACTGGTAGCTGGTGATACACTGGGCAGTTTATATAACAAGACAAGTGAAATCATGCTAATAGAATTTGCAGTTTTTTGTTTTATTTCCCCTTCCCCCCCATAACTGGTAACTAAGTCAATGAATGTAGCCACTGTTCATTGAAATGATGAATTTTTTAAGCATGGGAGAGTGCAAACCACTGAACAAAGTTTTCTTTGGATGAATATCTTAATTCTTGCTTACAGTGCTATGGATGATGATGACTTCGTAGGGCTTCTTGATTCTTCATTGCAGGTATAAGATGAAAAAGAGGATGTAGGATGATGGTATACTATGGCCATCCAGGAAATACAGAACTAGGGTAGCTAGCAGTATTGGTGATTGGTTTGTGACCAAAGCAGTTGCATGAACTGAACATCATTGAAGGAGAAGTGAAGTCAAAATAATACAAAAGTTACTGAGGGCAAGAAAATGATCTTCTACTTTAGCTGTGGCACTTTACAGCCATATCTATCTATGTAGATAGATGGTATGAATGAAAAATCTCTGTATAAAAGGTCCCTGTGTCACACTAGAGGTCTAGCTAAAACCTTCAGTGTGAAAATTTAAGCCTTTGCACAGGAATGGCTTTGTTCGTTGGTTGTCTTTTAGCATCAAGTCCAATAACTTTGTCTGTGGTTTTTGCCTTCATTTAGCCTGTATTTCCCCCTTACCCTCCCACCCCTCCTGCGTAATTATTCAAAGTTGTGTATTTTCTATGTAGAAACTGTGGATCTGAGATTGTATATGCAAGACTTTTTACTTTTCTTAAAAGTACTGTCAATTTTTGGACCAACATGAATTTTTTTCCCCCGCATCAAAATTAACTGATTCTGAACCATTAATTGAAGGACATCACATAAATGGCTTTGTCTACACATGCATGGTAATTGCATGCTGGAGACATTTGAAATAAGTAGCTATCTAAATATGAGGTCAAAATGTGTCCAAGTTTTAGCTGTATAGCATTCAGAATATCTCTGATCAATACTGTTTATGAATTAAATTTAAAAATACCATATCATGCAAAGTGTTGAATTTGTGCTTCAGAAAAGTATTGCTGAGTGGAATTTTTGTTTAAAAATTCTTTTATATTTGCAGAGAAACTGAGCCATACAAATATTTTTAAAAGTTTGCACTTCTTTAAGGCTATTTATTTTCTAAAAAAGAGGATTTGGATATTTTTGACAAATATACACATGGTGTTACGCTAACAAACGGCCATGCAACATATATCTTACATAATGAAGAAATTGAATATACAAGACCTACTCTATTTAACACACATATTGAAAATTTACAGTCTCGCCAATAGTTAAAAAAAGTTTTTCTTATTTGGCAGTATTTTTCTACAGTTTGTTCAAATATTCCGCTTGATGTGTTTTGGTGAATACTGAAATCTAGTCAGTGACAACCTGAGGTACTAAACATTTCTGCCTTACTTCGTTGTCTTCAAAGGTAATCTTTTTGTTCCTTTTAGGCTCTATCCATGAGTTGTGTATTACAGCGTTATTTGGCATGGGATCTGCTTCCACTATTGAAACAACTCGCTTTTTCATCTTACTTTTCAGAACTTTCTGAAACTTTTGCCTCGTGAATGCATAAAGTAGAGGGTGAAATATAGTTGTTCCGTATGCCATTACTAGAAAACATAATCGCAACTTTACCAAAAGGTCACTTGGGCCCAAACATAAGATGGTGGTGTTTAAAACAGAGATGGGTGTCCAGCAGAGAAGGAATGTTGAGATAATCAAGAGGGACATTCTGAAGACTCTCTTTTGCCGTTCTCGTCTCTCCCGGTGCCGTTTTACAGCTCGGCGTAGAGCAATGATGACAGACACAGAAGTCCTTACGCCAAAGACGACGTTTCTTCCTCCACTGCTGTGAGACACGTCCGTAGTCTCATGCTGAGTGGTCAAAGAAATAGTTTTTTTCTTTCTAGCTTTCTTCTTTTGTCCCGTTGTAAATCTTGTACCAATCCGAATATTTAGAGCCTGGAGTATTTTGGTGTATGTAATTAGCATTACTATAACAGTGAAGAAAAAGATTGGAATCTGAACGAGGAGGTGGTAGTACATTCCTAGCTCAGTGTGGTACTCGTTTGTACTCACGCACAAAAGTGTCTTATTTTCCCAAGTACTTGCGCTTTGAAGACTGAAAAAGTTTACTTCAATGAAAGGAATCAGGAAGGAAAAAAGTGAAATGATCCATATTGATGTCATTAATATCACAGCCCTTCCCATGGTCAGAATTCGATTGGCAGGTTTTACAGAGATGTCGTATCGGTCCAGAGTGATAGCAAAGACGTTGATTGCAGTTGAAACGCTTGCAAAAGAGACGCAAGCCTCATGGAAGCAGCAGATGAGAGCAGTGTTACTCTCCAGTGAAAGCAGAAGGATAACTATAGTTAGAGGAATACATCCCACACAAATTATTACATCAAGTACATGAAGGTTCATTGTAATTATGTTACTGACAGAATTGATTAAGTTGGATTTCATACAGTAAAGTACCAGCACGGTGAGGTTGCTGCCAAGTCCCAAAACAATTTCTAACATCAAAAATCCAGTGAGAGAAACTTGAAAGCTTAATGGATATGACAGTGGTTGGTACATGTTGGTGTCGATGTCATCAATGGCATCTCGAACTGTAATGTTAGATTCAGACTGCATGTTGACTTCCAGAATGGGGGAGAAGCACATTCTTTTGTTGCAGTTGTTTTTTCTCCTGAAAGATGAAATAAAATATGGAACTATTTGATTTATTTTTTTAATACTTATTGCAGATAAATGCTGGGGAAGGAGAAGGAAGGCAAAGCATTTATTCTTATCGAACTCTTGTTTACTGTATGTTCAGAGCTTTGGTTGGCAGGGACTCAAAAGCCGGAGGATCTAGAATAAGGTCTTTCCTTTTTAAAGCAAAGCAGGATTTGTTTAAAAAAAAAAAAAAAAAAGTTAAAAGCTTCCACTTAGGGAGACAAGGCTTTATTTATAGTGATGTGGTTTTTACAAAGGGCCCATTTGTTGAATAAACTATACTTGTGCATTGCCTTTGTATTGCATTGAGGGTCATTTTAGAAGAATGTTGTTAAGTATTAACAAATTAGTACTCAAGATCATTTAAAAAAGGCTCTTGTGGAAAAAGAAAGTGATAGGAGCATGGAGCGCTGTTGCTTATGTATCATAAAAAGAACATTTAAATTACTTATGGCAATTTAGTAGCCTCTTTCTTATGAAGAGTTTGCACTAGCGTTGTGGGTTGAAACTTGAAGTTCTGTAATTCAGCAGATTTTTACAGAGCTTGAAGACTTCTGTTTACTTTTATCTTGTGTGCATCTGCATGTATGAAACCACTACAACAATTTTATATAAGTATATATGATTTCAAATGCAAAACTGTGGGGTTGGGGGAATGGAGTTTATTATACAAATAGTACATTTCCTTTTTCTGATTTGAATATTCAATTTCTTTGAGAAATCAGTGCCTACATGGAGTGGAAGAGTATTTAATTTTATTCCAGAATAGATTTAAGGGAGTAACTTTAGAAAATAATACTTAAAAAGAAAATTGTCTCTTTCAGGGTTTTGGGTTTGGGTTTTTTGTTTGTTTTGGTTTTTTAATACAAACTACAATTAAATCCAACAGATTTATATACATAACATGTTTCTCTTAGGAATAAGTGAGGTTCAAAAAAAGTAGCATTTATTACATCTAGATTTTTTTATTTTGTGGATCATCTGCTTTCTTTTACACATGCTGATAGGTTGTAAATGTAGCAACTGCATGTAATACCTGATGTTTGTGTTATTTATATTGTCAGCCAGCTCTTGAGGTTGTAATGAAATGAAAAAATAAAAGAGAGATTATTCAATTTCTTGTTACTATACTTGAGGGTTTTTTTTAATAGGTAGCTGTAAATTTAAGAGGGGACATACTTGGCATGAAAACAAAATTAAATGTGGACCTTTGTTCCATTCTGAATACATTAAAAATGGATAGCACTAAGGTGAACAAAAATGAGCTCTTTTTTAAATGAAAGTATGAATTAAGCACACTTGGGATGCAATATGCAAATGGATTTAATCTGCAGTTCTGAAAAGCCTCAATTGCACACAATACTATTAATTGCAAATTGTATGATGAAAATTCTTGGTATGCTTCAACAGTTATTTCACATGTGCCTCTTAAATACAAAAGATGTAAATTAGACCGTATCCGTCTCAGGTGTGAAATGAAACAAGAAATATTTCAACAGCTTTGTTTAATTTCTAATTTAGGCAACCTCTATTAGGTTTATATTAACCCTCAGGAATACGATTTCCTCTGTGTCCAGTCCTGGCTGTGAATGGATTTCAAGAAACCATTCCAAATGCATTACTGGATAAATGGAGTTCTTTCATATTAGCAAAAGCCAGGAGGAAATCAAAAGCAGATCTGCTAAAACAAATGATGATCTTAACTCTTAACATTATGCCAACTGAAATTTTGTGAAAACAGAAAACTTCAGATGTGCTAAGTCTGATGAACAGATTAAACATCCTTGTTGCACTGATTAGATTTCAGTTAAATAAAAGCAGAAACGTCAAGGCAGGGAGCTAATTTACCCAATGCATCGCCTTTCTGGACAGTGCCTGTTCCCTTGCAAATGCTGAGCAGAGGAGGGGTGCATGCAGCTGCTGACCTACCTGTTCTCCGTCCCTCAAGGGCCTTTCAGATCATTGCAGCAGCTTGTCATAAATTGATACATGGTGTCACTGACAGGTATTTGACATGCACTGTAACCTGGAAACCAAGTGGTAGCTGGGCTCTTATTTCATTCCTTGCAGGTTTTTTTTTTTCTTTTTTTTGTTCCAGCACTTCAGCAGCAAAAAATTCTTATTAAACATGGGGACTTCTTAATCGCCTGAGATACTTCTACAGACCCGTGCATATTCTGTGTGTCTGTTCTGAGTTTCAAGCCAGCAATAACAAATAAACCTTCTTTTAAGTGATGTTAATTTGTTTCCCCTGTTGCATTTTGTAGCAGCCTGCTTTTATTTTCCAGGTTTAAAAAAAAATAATTTCTGATCTCTGTGTTCAGAGTGTATGTAGACATCCTTTAGTTTATGGTTGCGTGTTTCTTTCTGTAATATTCCTGCTCATTACTTTTGAGTGATGGCTTAGTCAAAGAAGTTGCTATACATCATAAAATCCAGTTCATGTGCTTTGAGGGTAACCATGAGTTACCTAGTTTGGTTTATTTTCGTTTAAGGAGAATACATAACAGACCATAAAATTGAGAGAAAAATATCCATTAGTCATTATGACAAATAAGTTATTTAATGAGTAGTATAGAAAAAGCTTGGTTAAACCCTTATTCAGCTTGCTGGTGAAGTATGCATATTCTCCTTTTGGGAATTCATGTTTCATTGTTTCTTCATGCATCAGTAGTTTCCACAATTCTGGTTTTAAATTATAAATCCCTCTTTAAGAAATGCTCACCATTTTAAGAATCAATCATTGCACTCTTCTTTTAATGAAAATCTGAGCAGATGTGTTAGTCTTCCATGTATATTGTTGAAGTGTTGTGCACGTAAATGGTAATGCAAGTGTGTTCCATGTTTTGTTTCTAATTCCTTTATGTCTTAAGAATACATTTTAGTGATGCATCCTGCTGCTTGTAGGTCATACAGCTAGAAAGATACCCGGTCAACTGCATTCTTCATATTGTCAGTTGTAAAACTGAATTAGTTGCTGCATGCCCTTGTGAAGGGGAGGAAAAAAAAGGTTAAAAGTAGGGGTTATAATTTCAAAATAAAGTAATGCAAGAATATATTTTCTAATATAACTTATTTCATGAATAAAAGATCTCTAAAATTGGATCTTACAGATATCATAGGAAATCAGTTAGTGTGTTCACTATTTGCTAGTAAAATCATGTCATTCTTCTGTCAACTTACATGAATTTAGTTTTTTGGACAAGTTTCCTATTCTCCAAATAGTGCAGGTTACAAAAAACCCCAACTAGAAGCAATTACTGTTGGATGTAGAGTGTCTGTGACTAGAGCTAGAAAATGTAGTTTTATAGCTCTTGTGAGCAGGTCGTTTATACATACAACTCTCTTGTCATTTAATGAGAAATTGGGCAGAATCAATGAGCTTTATAGGTAATATGTTTTTGTTTAATTTGCACACTGTTATAATTTCTTTTCTTGAAATAAATGTTTAGCAAATCCATGTTTTCAATAAATGGCTTGAATATACAGGGTAACGAAAGAAATAAGTTTAAAAAAAAAAACCCAAAAAAGGGGGATTTCTTTAGCAATCAGAGGTTAGTCATATTAGCCAACCTTCATAAAGCAGTAAGTATACACTAATTACAGACTATCTGATCCTTCAAGGAGTACCTGAATAAATCTGTAACATATTTAACTGCCAATATTTGGAAATACTGCTGAGGGAGGAAAAAAATATTCCCAGTTGCATTATGTAGTTTTTTTCCCCAATACTGTATTAGCTTAAACTGTACTGCTTTTATGTTGTACGAACAAAACAGGTTCTTAATATTCTGCAAGACTTTCATACAAGATAACATTTTTCTACCATTGTGTTTTTAATGGGGAGGGGGAAATAGCATTTGAATATTTCCTGGTCTCAAATATAACAAGATACTAGCGCTTAATGTAAGTTGAATCTGATCTCTTCCCTTTTTTCTCCAATTTTTTTTTTGTTAAATGTTGCTTATTCTGAATACCATAATAAGGAACAGATCTTACCTCCACTAAAGATTTGATAAATTCTCGATGCAGGTGAAGCAGTTCCAGGTTGGAGGGATTCATTTTGTTCACTTGTTAGCA